GGTTTTGAGGTAGTGGAGCACCTTGTTAAAAGATTTTCAAAACATTTTGGGGAAAGAATACAGTTCATTAATGATAATGTTCAACACACTTCTTTCTTTGACTGCTCTCTCTGTTTACCCTAACAAATAGCTCAAATCAGGCACATTTTATTTTAGAGTTTTCAGTTTTCTTGCTCAAATTAAAGGCTACCAGCAAGTAATGTTTTCTCACACAGAAAATAAATGTTATCAAGAAGCATTTTGGGCTTCTTTTTGTCACATAATTAATTTTCAATTTCAGATTTGGTCACAAGTTCAAATGAACACAAAATCACTGAAATAACTGCACATGACAGAGCTCTATAGTGAACTGTCACCTCAAAAAATGTGCAGTTAATGCAGTAAAGCCACCAAAACAAAGACTGAACTAATAGTTATTTTTCATTCAACTTCACATCAATGGAAAACATTGTCAGGCATTCCCGGTACTAAAAAAACAAACAAACAAACAAACAAAACAAACAAACAAACAACAACAACAAAAAAACCTTGAGAATGAAGCACAGTGGTAAAAATTACATTATATCTTAAAAATATATGTAAAGACGTACCATCAACTTGTCTGAAATAGAAAACACAAAAGCACTTAAAAATATATACTGATTTTTTTATCAGTTAAAATTATACAGTCCCTCTGTAACATCTACATTCTTACTGTTCGAGTGAGGAATTACTAATTTCTGTATAACACCAGGACATCTAAAAATTCTTTAGTATGTATCTTCAAAAACTTTTGAAGAAGTCTTGACTTACTTATAGGGTACTTTTTTAAAGAAATGTAATGCTTTTTTAAAAAGTTAACTAACATTTTGAGACAGTTATAAAAATAAAGTTGACTGATGTCACTTTAAATCATCTGTTGCTATTCATAATTCCATGGGTTTACATCTGAATTAAACCCTGAAAACAATTATTTGGTCGCATAGAATCAGAAGCTTAGTAAATATGTATTAGGAGGTATTTTTACCTGATATTCAAAGTTTCAATATTTTGTTAACAAGTACACACAGCTAATATTTTTCAGGTAAAATTTTAAACTCTTTTCTGAAAGAATCATTCAGAAGTAATTACTTAAATATGAGAACAATTTATAATAAAATGTTTTCTAAAGCGATAAACAAGACTTCATACGTCTACATCAGATGCCAGTATTATATTTTATAAAAAATTTTCTTCTCAACTTTGAGAATTAATTATCTCTCTATTATATTAGAGTTTGTTTTTTTTTTTTTTTTAAATTTCCTTCCACATCTAAACTTTAATAGTCAAATCTAGCTTTTTGGGAGGGAAGAGTAATACAATTAGGAAATTGCTTTAACTACTTGATGCCTTTTGCTAAACTGACTACTATCATAATGGTCTTCAAAAACTTACTACAGTCACTGACTGTCTTATAGTTAAGCTTAACAACAAAAATCTTTACTAGCCCAGATGAAATACATTACATCTGAAAATTCAAGGAAATTGTTCAGAGGAAATTGTGACTGTCAGCAAGAAATATCTAAATATTAGATGAATATTTGAAGTGCCAAATGGCAATTTGTATACTAGGGGTCATACTATTCAGGGTCCTAGATTTAGGACCTAACTTCTAATACCCCTCTGATTACTATACCTCTAACAGAGAGATGTAGTGAATAAACAGAGGAGGTAGAAAAGCAAAAGAAAAAGGGGCACAAGTGCAAATCTCCTGAAAAAATAATTAAATGAAAGCCAGTTACCTTTCTGTGAGTGCTCCAGAAGAATAATGATGCACAGATTTCCAGCAGCTAAAGACATGACACCTTGAAAGCCAGAAGCAAGAACATGCAACATTTCTCAAGACAGGAAAAAGTGAATACCATTGAAGATAAATGTGGCCACCACAGTTTCAATTCATCAGTCTATTAATATTTCTTAATTGATCTGATAAACTGCACAGTAGTCCAGGGCTGAGATTTACAAATATGAATAAATTTTAGACAGAGTCTAGGAGAAATAGCTGTACAGTTTTAGGGTGGGGTTTGGGTTTTTGTTTGTTTCTTTGTTTTGTTTATTGCAGGGTTTTCTAAGTAGCAAAAAGATGAGTCCACCACAGGACTTCCACAGTCTGTAAATAGATCCCAAAAGCCCCATTCCATCTAGCTGGTTTTATTGCCACCTTCTCATCTGAATGCCTCACACCCATGAATGGTTATCTTTCAACAGTCCCATAGGTAAATTGGCATCTTTCTCTTTTAGATGGAAGTCAAAATTAGAGAAGCTGAACCCAAAGCAAAAGCCAATCAACATGAAATAAGGACCTAGATAAATTCAGGAGGTTTAAATAAAAGATTAACTGACTCACCTAAAACATCACTGCACATACAACTGTGCAGTAGAAGCAAAGCAATCGTTGCTCCCACCTGCCACATCTCTGCAAGTTGCCAGTCCCTTCACCGAGACAGATGAATGAATCACAGTCCAAAATTCAGAGGCTTTCCATTACACAGGAATTCTTTTATACAGCAAGGAATTCAGTCCAGTCAAGTCCTTGGCTAATGACTCTGGATCTAGCAGAGACACTGTGAAACATAGGCAGAGACTTTAAAGAACCTCACACACAACCACTGTCTCCTGACATGGACCAGGCCATACCATTCTGCACCACACTGAAGACACATAGGATGGGTTGGGAATCTGCCAGAAATGAAACTCTCACCTTCAAACCTTTTCTGTTACTACCAGCGTGACATTTGTTACACTAAAAATGAGTGGCTTTTACGTCTCTTTCTCTCTTCTATAAAAACTGTTTTAAGACTCTGATCATGCCACGGCTTATTGGTGTGTGTAATTTGACATGAATGATAAAATTTGGCATTTGCTCAAGTCTTCAAAGAACCTAAAAGGAGACAATTAAAGAAGCATTTATGACCCATGGCAAAACAGCTTGCCAATGAACTAAGGAGAGGAATGAATGAAGAAACTTCCTAACTCATAAAAAATGCTATTAGAGTCCTCAATAAATCAGTTATACATTTTGACAAATGTAAACAACCTAAATATTAAACCACATGCTTAATTTAATGGTGAGAGAACAAGCATATGTAAAATGTAAATACCGAAATCATAATTTTAATATGCTACTAAACAGCTTAAATTCAAGAACTGAGAACGGGAAGTTGTACTGAATTACAGCAATATGAAATAAAAACACTAAATACACAACTTGTCCTATAGAGTCAAAGGAATGGGGATTTCATCATGCATGGCTAAAAATTAAAAAATGTGGCCAAATAAGACAAATATATGAATTTTAAATTGAGTTTGAAAACATCAACTTTGATACAAAAGAAAGCATTTAAAACAGTAGAGTATCAAAACTTTAAATTAGGTTAGCAAGATTCACAGAGCATAATGCATGTCCAATTGAAAAGTATCTATAATAGGACATCCCTATTCTAGCAGAATTTATCACATCCATCAAATCAGGGCTACTGTCTGACTGCATTTAATCTGTCCTTGAAACAATGGGAGATCTACAAGAAAGTCATACAACTGGATAAAAGTTAATTACTGAACTGGAAAATTAAACCTATGCTTTATATTGAAAACATACGACTAACACTTAAAATGGGTAATTGTTCACTTCAATTAAAACATTTCTGTCTAACATAGCTCTGTTTATGATGGCAGCAATGACATTTTCAAGTAAGAATTGCAGGGTCATGGTTTGGTGGGGTTTTTTGTGTTGTTTTTTGGTTTATGGGGTTTTTTTGCAGATCGAATGGCAAAACTCGAGTATAAGCAAACTTGTCAGGCACCGTAAAAAATGTAAGTTTTAATTGTTACTATATGTATAGTTACAGATAACTGTTAGTCTAGTAACCAAGCCCAGTTATGTTCAGACTTCTAACTCATCTGAAATACAAAAGAGTAGAGCTGCTCTTTCCTAATTCCCAAGCTGACAGTTGAAATCTTTTTCCTTACTTGACCCAAGATCAAGAAATCCAGAAACAAAATTAGAATATACATATACATACTTTTTTTAAAAAATCAAGTCTTTCCAATAGGAGCAGTCAATGAGATCTTATTGCTTTCCGGGGTATAAAGTTTTCTGTACAGTGCTGAAAAGTTAAATATTGAAAGCTTACACCAGCATTACAAATTTTATGCTCAAAATCCTGGTTTAAATTCTATTTTATACTTTAAGAGCATGAATATAGTGGCCATTGTTATTATAAATCTTACTGGATAATCTGGACAAATTAGTAAAATATTACTGGGTAAAATATCAAAATCAATAATAGCTGTAATATAAAATAAGGCATTTTGTAAAAAGAAAATATTCAAATACCATTACTTCAGATGGGGAAAAAAATTGTTAAAATCACAGAAAACTATGAGAAATATCAGAGAACAGAAATATTTTCAGGTAAGAATTTCTCACTCAGAGAAGGCAACTCTCAGCAAGGAATACCTTCTGAAGCCTCAGCTACACAACTCAATAACCACATATAAAACGCATTAATCTGAAGTATTTACCAAGTGGAAATGTATGAAACCCTACACATTTTATATTCAGGCCTTCAAGTGCATTAATATTTATATATTAATATATATATTTATATATATATATATTTATATATTTATAAATCAAAATCAGTCGTTTGAAAGCTTTAAGTTTATCAGAGGATCCTAAACCAGAAAGACAGAAAAAAACAACTCTTGTGATGAAATTAGTCTAGCTGACATCACCTAATGAAATACACAACCTACTTTGGATTTATATTATTTGCTAAATCACTAAAAAGAGTGATTATTTTTTACACAGCAAGTGACCTAAAATAGATGTAAATAACTATGAGGAAAATATTGTTCACTTCTAATACTTGCAAAGATTAACTTATGTTGAAAAAATACATTTTTCATCCTTTTGGGATTACAGTTTTGTTCTTCAATAAGTTAAATACCTATTGTCTTTTATTAATAACTCTTTTCTCCTTAATTTGATCAATTTGTCACCATTCAAGGCTGTGTAGAATTGTTGAATAAGAGGTAAGCAGGGTCAGATTAATTTAAATAATAACAAAGAGAAAAAAAGTCCCAACTTCAAACCCCAAATTCCATTCTCCTGAAAAAGCAGAAATGAAGCACAGATATCCCTCTTCAAAATCCCATAAGTCTACCAGCAGTGGGTGTTGCAAAGGACTTCTGTCTGATCCTTTCTGTTGCCTGGCTGCTTCTCACAAACCGTGCAACAAGTGCTGTGTTTCATCATATGGCATTCAATGTGGTGCCAAAGCTGGCAAGTCCTGCTCCATTCCTTTTCCTAACTCTAGCAATGAGCCCCTGCCACTTACCTTGGGTCAAACCTAATGAATTGGTTCGACAAGGGAGGTCAATTTAAAACTAACGCACTGAAGCACTGTATTGCTTTGTTATAGGAATACACTCAACTGGCTTATTCTAAAGCCACAAAAGCCACTAAATCTGAGGCTAACAGACGGAGGAAACAGGTGCAAAAGGTAACAGCAAAAAAAGAAAGGAGAGAACGGGATTACCCCTTTTAGCAACAATTTGCAGGTTTACTATGGCAGTTGAAACACAAAGCCGATGTCTTAAGAGGAAGTTCCACAATAACTGAAGTCGTTCTAAATTGAGACTGCTCTTCCACTGACCCTAGCACCAAGGCGATCATGTGGGGCTGATAAAGTTAAGAAAAAAAATGCCTCAGAACAGTCATTATTGTTCAGGTGCTTCAGCTCTTCATGGATTGGTTCACTGAGACCTTACAGGAGTGCTACTGCAGGCAGAAAAACAACAATAAACTGCAGCAACCACAACTTTGGTCTTAAATCACTGTGGATGTGATTCCTTGACCTCATTTAGCTCTTTCGTTAACTCGAAAACAGGGAAACATCTCATGATTTAGCTGTGCCTTGGGCATAAAGCCTACTGCCTTGGTGCATTACTTCTCTTTTTTTGTTACCACCTAAGACAGACAAATAAGTTCAAGCTAAATAGAGTGCCAAGCCTCTTCCTGTGCTCAAAGAACCGAGGCTAGATCATCTTTGGATCAAAGTCAATAGCTATTATTTTGTTACAAATAGTACATACTATCCCACATATTAATGAGTAACCAGAATATTAGATCTACCACAATTTTATGCATGGTCAATTCTACCTGAAGAAACAGGTGGAATTGTTTTGAGCTTCCCTTGAACCTCTTTACCCTCACAAGTACTCAAAAATAAAGAATTCAACAGGAACAAAAGAACATAACTTAGCAATGAGATTTGTCATGACAAGATAAACCTTTAGGGGGTGAGTTGTCACTCCTTACACCAGTTTAAATGAGAAGGTCCTGTTCCTTCCTCTTAGCTGTTTACCATCATCCCTGCTCTTACCTGAATACTTTGATCACTTACCTTGCACTGACAGAGAAGTTCACCAGACACCTTTCTGGGCAGGAAAGGAATCAAGAAGGAACAAGACTCACCCTTTCAGCACAATTAAGCTTTACTATACAAAGTATACTTTGCTGTGCCTTTAGAAGACTTTACTCTCAAACAGCAAGCTTTATAGCAGAACGGAAACAAATAAAAACAATGCTTAAATTTAAAAAAAAAACATTGTAAACTATTCTTCCACACACAAGAAGCCACTCTCTATTCATTTTACATCTTTGCAAAGCAATTGGATCAAATTCTACTGCCATCTGAGAAAACATTCTTTAGTGGCCTAAGCAAATCTCACGAAAACCTCAGTTATTTTGTAACAGGAAATGGGAGAATGCTAATGGGCTTTTCTAAAGTACAAAAAAGATGGACGTCCAGGTGTAAAGAAAAAAAGCACTAAATGTGGTTAGCTATAGACAGTCAGTATAATTTGATCAGAGTTACATGACACTTCATGGCTTTCATAGCCAGAGAAACTAAAGCTACACACTGATTCTAAATGCTGGAGATTAAAGTAATGGAAACAAATAAAAAAATTATGATCTGAGACTAGTGACTTCTTAAGCATTGAAAACATATTCTTTAATATAATGTACCCTAAATGTATTAAATACAAAATTGCATTCAATTTGTAATAGTTTAACAAATGCAGTGTTTAGAACATTTTCACACCACTTTCTTGCTTTTACCCCAACACTTTTCCTTTACTTTGCCCATGCAACCTTAAACACAACAGGAACATGTGAACAAGGTCTGACAGTATGCAGAATTAGAACTAACTAACATTTTGAAAGACAGCATCCTGAAAACTCTTCTCTGTAAACCCTAATTATGCTGATGACGAGTACAAATCAGACAGAAATCACCTGCAGATAACTGATAACCTCAGTTATCAGTTGAAGAGAAACTTCCACGTAGAAGTACACACAATCTTGTGTCAGTACCATTTCCAAATTCTATAGTAGAAAGAAGTGAGGTTTTGATCTCAGAGTGGAGCTCTAGTATACCCCATCCTCCTGTTTGAGCAATCTGCAGTGCCACTACAATGCTTTGTTCCTGTAAGCACTGTTTGTAGTACCCTGGGACCCTGAAAAAAAAAGTGTCTTTATTACTGAAGAATGAAAACTTACATGCAGGGAAGCTTGGTCTTTAGAATATTTTAAAAGACAAAAATACTCTAAGTTCTTAGCATATGCAGATTACTTAAATGTATAAATAGGCCATTGGGAAGAAGTCAGAAAACTGCAAGGCACAGTAGGACTTGGGTGGTTTTGGTTATTGTTTTCAACAGAAGGGTTTGCATCAGAAAAGACATTTTTCTAAACAGAAGAAAAATTCTCATGTTTTGGTGGAAAAAGCAGAAAATAGCTCTCATGATTTAATGATTTCATAAAGATGATCTATATCCAATGCATTATATCTATTTGTCTTAGTTCTTAGTTCAAAAATTACTATTTTTGGCTATTTCAGGTTTCTTGTATTACATTTAAAAATCATTCCTGAGAATAGGTGTCTCAAGTCTTATGACACATATTTAACAAATCTATTCATGGAAATTCTCCATCTGTTCTGAAATGAGTAAGAATGTTATTATAATTGTTTTAGATCTATATGAAGACAAATGACAGACCAACTGCAGTAATGGAATTTTTAATGAAATGTGCAAGTTTCTGGTTGATTGGGCATACTGCTGTGATCTAAAGACTAACTGTTTGAAAAAGATGAAAATTCCTTAGATCTGTCTTTACCTTCCAGGTAGAATTATTCTGTTCTGTATCAATCTGCAAATGTTTACATTCAGAAAAGTCATCTGTTGTAAGCAGATGTACTCTCCTGCATAAATGCTTTGTCCTTTCTGTAAGCCTAGAGGTGCCTGAATTTATAAAATACTTAATAAAAGATAATCTGTCCCTAAAAATATACTCTAACCTTAGGGTAGACTTTCTGATATAATCAGATATTTTATTCTGTATCTCACACAGACTCTATTAATTTTAAGTATTCTTACTTAATGGAATAACGAAAGTTATCTCTACATTAGAAAACTGGGGCCTGATCTTCAAAAGAACTCGTTTGGGTACCTAAATGGCAAGACTTTGCAAAGTATTTAGTATTTTGTAGCTTATATGAACAAACAGAAACAAACAGAAACTGATCCACACGTTTGCTACCGAAGTGAGTATGACGCATTTCCTTTCACAAACTGACCTCTAATACTCTAATCTCCAGGTCTAAACCTTTCTAAAAGAATTAAGTAGAAAAATAAAACCAGAAGTACTCACTCAACTGTGAGTTGCTTCATTTTCTATTATTTTTTTTAACTATTGATAAATGAACACTGTGTAAAAGAAGGGGTGGGGAGAGGAGAAGGGCTGAAAGGTATTCTTCCTGAACATTTAGTTTCCAAACTGAGTTGTGCCAAATAATCAGCAGCATACCTATGGCTAACACAATTAGGATCAGAAATTAAGCAGATACCAGAGGAAAAAATGTGTTACTTTTGTTCCTTTTTCTCTTAAAAAAACCCCGAAACAAAACCCAAACAAAAAACCAAGTTATTTTAAGAACACCCAGTTAAAATCACAGAATAGCAAAGTTCTTATTTCAAATATTTCTTTTCACTCTAAGTTAGTCTTTTAAGTGCAAAGCCTTTTAATTAAATTGTTACACTTCCTTATATTTAGATCTTTTTGCAGCTGAGACGACTGTGGTTTAGTGTCTCATCTGGTGCTGACCTTACACAAGACAATCGCCAAAAGAAGCTCATTTCACATCAACTAACATGTTGCTGCATTGTATACATGTAAGCCCTGCTTACACAACACCTATTCATATACTTAATTCCCATACACAGAGGGTTCCATTGAAGCCACGTGGTCACACAACATCATAAGATGGATGGAGGTTCAGTGTCAGCCAAAGAGAGTAACCAAGTGTTTGCCATCCTATGTATATTAAAGACATAACTGACTCTGATCTCATAAACCACAGACTGACAAGTGTACGTTCAGGACTAATTCTATACATAATATTTTTGCTACTTAATTTGGAGAAAAAAGTAATCCATATTCAATGTTATTTTAGCCATCTATTTTCTACAGCATTCTGTCATTCCTGCATGCACACCAATTAGCTAACTTGCCTGCTCTTCGAAAACTTTTAAGGAATGTTAGACTAGTCTGGCCCCAATACAGTCAACAGTAAAATTCCCTTTAGTCAGAGCGAATCTCATCCACTGTCTCATAAACTCTGAAAGAAGCTGCCATGCCATCCTTGTAAAAGCAAAAATAAAAATGTGCCCATTACTCAATCAATATGGTTTACAGCTTACTGTTTATCAGGCTGGAAAACCTCGGTGGCTCGGAGCTGACGCACACCTGCTTTTATACATGATGTCTTCTGGCACAGATGAGAGAGACAGAAGCAGTAGTGTCTTAAGATGAAGACAGATTTATCTGAACTTCACAGACATATCCCCACAATATATAAGTGAACCTCCCTTCAGAACATACACAACAAACAGGTTAATTTAGAACACATTAACAATAATCTATATACAGCTAAGGTTACATCCACACCTTCTTTCTGAAACCTCTTCCAAAACTTTAAACTTAAGTATTCTAGGCCTTCTCTCTGCCTTGAGTAAAAACAACCGGGGAGAAAAACAATTATCCATTGGCTTTCAAAAAAAGAAAAAATAAGGTAATTTTACATCCTTAAAACAGACGGTGCTAGTAGGAATTGCCAATAAAATTTTCAATCAACTTCAGAAATATAACTGAGCCTTTGCCTTCTTAACCAGTATTGTCAGCTAAGCAGTCTTCTGACACTTAAGCACCTAAAAACTAGCAGGAGGCCGAGGCCCCTTTCAAAACCTTTGACATGGAGGCAATTCAATTGACTTCATTTAATTTGATCCTGTCATAGACTGTTAAGACCAAGGCTCACATAAGGTGTTTATACTTGTCCAAGGAACATGCAACAATAACATTTGTTCATGCCTCTGCACACTTCTGTATTAGATTATGTATAATATCAATCTGTCCCAGCTTTTAAAAGCTACAAACATCACACAGTCCTTATAGCTGTTAACTTTTCCGGCCATAAGCTTTAGCAATAGCAGAATTTACTCTGATGTAACACAGAATGTTATCACACTTTTGGTAGTGAGTCTTTTAATGCAAGCCTGTTTTTCTATAACAATTTCAAATTCACAGCCTGACTGCTTGTGCTTGAAAGTCAGGGGGCAATATTCTTCTAACCGTAAGACTTGAGCTCTGTCTTTCTACTTAAGTGCCTGCTGTCCCATGAGATCCATTTTAATTTATTACTTTCCAAAAAACCAACTAACCAACTAACCAACCAACCAACCAACAAAAATCAAACCCTCCCTCCCCCCAACAACAAACCAATGAAGCTGTTCTTGAGAGGTTATTCAGCTTATCCCTCAGCTTCAAAGCAGAATTAACCATATTTAAACCATTCCTAACATATGTTTGTCTAGTCCATTTTTGAATGTCACCACTAGTGGAGATTGCAATGTTTCCCCAGGCATTAAACCCTTTAAAAGATTTTTTTTTAATGTAAATGTTTACATTAAAAAGTGCTTCTTGCACTTTTCATAGTAGACCTAGAGAAGATTTACTTTCTTCACATTTTACACTTTTGAACTCTTATTACAACAGATCTGTTTTGTACGTTCTTATCAACCCCAATTTAATCTAGAAAAAAAGTGAACACAATTTTAGATAAGAAAACATAGCACAACTAATATATTTAGAAAAAAAACGTAGATCCTATTTTGGACCTACTATCTTTATATCTATGATCATATACAGTAAAACATTTTAACAATGGTCATTTATCATGTTCCTCAAGAGAACCAATAAAATGCAATGAATACACATCCTCTGATGTTGCACAGGTACAAAATGTATAGTTTGTTTACAAACTAATATTACTGAATGTAAAATGAAGCAACATTTTAAAAAAATATATTGGTAAAGGTCTGAAGTTTACATTTTCTAAAATATTAAGTTCACGTTTTATTTACAGACCAGCGTTCAAACAATTACTGGCATTTTAAGATAACTGTTTAACCTGATGAGTACATGAATAAAATGAAGCTGTAAAAAAAAACCTCAACCAAACAAAAAAAACCCCAATGATAGAATTTCCATATAACAGTTCCAAAAACACTTTCTAAATTTCTTTTTAGAAAAGCAAGATGTGATGTACCACACAGTAACTTACCAGAAACTGATCTAACACTTCCATATGCTATAGGTATCGCAAGTGACCAATGTTACTACAGTGTGCCCAAGAGTGTGGGTTTTTGCCCATTCCAACTTCGAATGAAGTTTTCACAACAGTTGTAGTATTTACAAATTTAAAATAAAGGCTCAATATCCCTTTGGATTACATTATCACTGTTATTGTGTCTTCTCTTGCTGACTACACACAGGAGACTCCAATCCAAAGACAACTTATTTTGTTGACTCTGTGAGTTAACTATTAAATTAGCAGCATGTACCCCAGCTTATCTTAAAAAAAAAAATAGGCGAGACTAGGCAACTGACTAATAGCGAACACTCACTCTGGATCAATTACAACTGAATTCACTCACTGAAGTGTCTCTATTGCTGAGAGGTGGTGAGTTAGAAGGTGGAAGCTTTTAAACTTGAACAGAACCTATGAGCTGGTAAGACAAGCCATGACACAAACCCCAGCTGAACACTGGGGGCAGGTATGTGACAGCCTGTGGCTGTGCTCTGCAGCTCCAGGAGTCTGGCAGTGACAGGTCACTCGCCAGTGCAGCTAAACCTCCTGTGCTCCCAGAAACACTCCTTTACCTTCACTGTGCTAGGTCAGGTGAACTGAAAGCTGCATAATAAAAAGCACAGCCTCAGGCTGTATTAGCTTAAACTGATTTCTACTGGGTTTGAGTAAGGAGCACGTCTCATTCACGCTGCACCCTTTTTCCTTTGTGGCCCAGTCCCATCTCCAGGGCCCTATATAAGAGTGAACACAAAAACAAATGAGGCAGACTTTTTTACCCACTGAAGGGATTGGTGAATGCCATGACGCTGCTGCTTCGCCAGACAGAATCACTGTGAATAATGTAGTTTTTTCAAGAAATCAAGTATTTCATTAAACTTGCCACCTTGATTAAAGTAAGAGGGTATCTGGGGGAATGGAATAAGAAGCAATTTCATTCTGATCACCATCCCACTTACACTCTACTGTACCTACCTACATTAAGTGAAAAAAGGAGGAATTAAAAAGCTTAGGGAATCAATGTCTGTTTCTCAAAAAATTATAACACCTTCAGAATTATGAAAACCAAGCATTTCCTTTCCATGTTTGTGATTTTTGAGATTTCAGCACTTTCAAACTTGCTGATTCTCACTGATTGCAATGTTTATGTTGTATGCAGTATTCCATACTGAATGAAATAAGTACCAGCCAGCAATTATCCCTGTTTTATAGAGAACTTGATCGCACTCTCAAAGCAGGTATTAGTGCGTTATACTGCTAATGGCAACAAAATTGCTTCACATTCTAAGAATACCCATCTCTGAAATGTTTTAAAATACTTAACCAAGTGATGCTATGTATTTCTATGTAACATTCAATTCTTTAAAAATATGATTTCTTGAAAAAATTCTCAGTCTAAACGTATATCAACACTAGATTTTGTTCATTTTCATTTCTTATATTATTTCTGATAAAGTTTCTGCTTTAGTTTTTAACTACAAGCTATAGTTTCTAATTGCTGCTCTGCTTCCGCAGCCATGGCTGCTGCCTGTAACTGTTCTGTTTCACTCTGGATGGAATTGGCTGTAGTAACTTGTTTTCTTTCACTGTGCATATTGTTCTCATGCCTTTTTAGGTCAGATGCCTTAGCAAATGCTTTAGTGCAGGAACTGCAGACAAAAGGTTTCTCTCCTCGGTGTCTTCTTTCATGGTCCTTGAGATGGGACTTGTGCTTGAAAGCCTTATCACACATATGGCATGCAAATGGCCTCTCATTACTGTGAACTCTTTCATGCTTTTTCAGATCTGGTGCGCGAATAAAAGACTTTCCACACACCTCGCAACTGTAAGGCTTGTAGCCTGTGTGTATTTTCAAGTGCTCTTTCAAATGAGCTTGCGTGGTAAAGCCCTTTGTACACATTTCACAAACAAACGGCCTATCAGCAGTGTGTAACTTTTCATGTTTTCTCAATCGCGCTTCGTCAGAAAAGGTCTTGCCACAAGCCTGACATACAATATGTTCCCTGTGACCATAAAGTAAGTACTCAAACTTCATATCCCCGGCTGCCGTGGTCCAGCCAGGTGTCTGTTCATCTTTCACTTCACTTATGCCATCGTTAAATGTCAAAGCCTGAGGGGTCTGAGATCCTAAGTCTTTAGATTCAGTCGTTTCCATAGGCTCTACTTCTTGGCCATAGCAGTTTACTTTTCGAACTTCTTCACTTCCCAGCTCTTTCAGAATTGCCTCTTGCACTCTCAGGGTAGTTGTTGGTGACTTTCCATCTTCCTGACTTGGAGGAGTTCCTTCCACTGTCACATCTGATGGACTATCATCATGATCTCCAATTTCTTCCACCTCATCATCTTGTGTATCATTGGGTTCTCCCATAGGACGGTTTATTTTTAGACAGTACTTGCTCTTGGACTGTGTGTTGTCTTCAGGACTAGAAACATCACGTTTTTGAGAGCAGAGTTTATCGAGAAATCGAATACCGAGGATCTGGCCTGAAGACATCATCAAATTTACATCCTCTTTCTTAACAGATATCTTTGCAGTATACATGTAATTGAGAACTTCCTCAAAAATATCAGAACGAAGAAAATCTATTTCTATTACTGATGAACTATCAACTTCCAGTTTTTTGAAAAGCTTTTTGAAGTAGGTACTGCAGGCAGCAAGCACACACCTATGGGCTCTGAACTTAACATCTTCAACCACAATAGCTATGTCACAAAATTCTCCTTCCAAACGTTGTTCATTCAATGTTTTCAGGAACACAGTTTTGTGATCGTCGTCATTATATTTAATGGTTTCAGACATACTGATGAAAAACTCCTGTAAAATAACAAGAGAAAGTTTTGTAATTTTTATAAAGCAGTCTGAGTCATAAAATCCCAACAGACGAAACTATTTACATACTAAAAAAATTGTCAAATAATTTTTTTTCTTAATATGATCAGAAAAAGCTTTTAGATTATACAAGCATTACTCTGAAACTTATTTTAAAATTGTAAATACATATAGGTCTTTCCTTTTCACTTTACAATTACTCAGTTTTATTTATTGATTCAGTTATACAAAACTGGAAACCTTCTCTGTGAAACTGCAATTCTCAGTAAATGTATGATCCAACTCTTAAGTAATTCTTACAGCTAAAGAAAACGTTAATACTAAAAATGTGTAAGAAATACTCTGTGTCAGCACAACAAACTAAATGTGAAATATCAAATATAAGCCTTACCATGAACAACGTGGGAAATTTTCTGAGCAAATGATTATTAAATATTTGACAGATTAGCCCTCAGACTGGGCCACCTTCAGCCTGAAAGACAGGAAGATAATAACATTTCAAAAAATTATAAGATCTATTCCAAAAATTATTTTAAATTTGTATGTTAAAACACAGCACTCTCAATTATTTTATGTTAGACAAAATGCACTGTTAAAATACGCAGTTATTTTTCAGTGGTACTACAGTTCTACTGCATAAATTGATCTGACATTGTTGTTTATATAACGTTGTTGATATAAATCATGTGTTTACTTTCCTCTGCCTACTGCACTTCCCTGGCTCCACTTTCCTGCTACTTACTTCGCGCTACACCTAAAAGTCTGAAAAACTTCCACAGGAATCACTACAGTCAACCCAGTAACCAACCCATCAAGAAGCTGATTAGTCTTCTGCTGAACCAGAGATTCGAGCAACCCTAGCAGAGGGTCTGGCAAGCACATCGGGCATCCCAAAGGACAGCAGACTGTGCTATGGGCGGATGAGCATCAAGGACCAGGGAAAGAGACATCAAGTGTACCAGATCTCCAAACAATGGAGATATACGAAGAGCAGAAGCATAATGCCAGCCACATAATTCAAATTATTCAATCCCAATCGCTGGCATCTCATTGTGACAGAAAAAGGAAACATAGCAGAGAGGAGGGAAATTTAATAATGGTTCAGAACAAATCCCCCATCACCTGGCACAGAGCTGCTGGGAACTTCTTTCCTAAATTCTATGACATTCTACAACAGGCATGATGACAGGTATGCAACTTCTACTCTTGGTGCCGTGTGTTTCACGTGGTATGGAAACGTTTGACTCACTACAAATACCTTTGCAGGTCTGGCATCTCAGCTACAGTGTCCCTCGCTACCGAA